GCAAGAGAAAAACAACACATCACGTAGAAGGACTCTTCAGTAAATTTAACAGCAGATTTTTTAGCAAAGATTTTGCAGTCCTGAAAGCAGTGTAATGGTATATATAAAGAAAAAAACCTGTCAATCAAAATCAAATAAAAAAAGTTCAATTGAGAATTTAATATTGGGCAACATCCCTCAAAAATGAGGAAGAAATTAAATATTCCTAAACAAAATCTGAGGGTGTGCCTTACCACTAGATCTACACTAGAAGAAACACTGATGGGATATCTTCAATTTAAAATGAAAAGACACCAAATAGTGACTCAAAGCCATATAAAAGTACAGTTCTCCAGCAAAGGTAAGTACAGGGACAAATAAGAAATATCAATATTATTGTAATTTGGCTTAAAATTCTACTTTTTATTTTCTACAAGATTTAAAAGACAAATAATTTATAGATATGCCAGTATATAAAGATGTAATTTGTTACATCAATAATACAAAGATGTGCTTGGAGCTGTGTAGGAAGAAATTATAAATACAACTGAAGGTAAATTGGTATCAATTTAATACAGATTGTTAGAATTTTACGATATATGTTATTGCTTCCAGGGTAACTACAAAGTAAATATGTGTAGGGTATACATAAAAAGAGCCAAGAGGAGTAAAAGTGTGTCACTAAAATATCAACTGAGGGCCGGAGATTTAGCTCAGTGGTTCCACCACCTGCCTCACAAGCGCAAGGTCCCAAGTTCAATCCCTGGTACAAAATAAAAAAAAAAATCAATTGAATTTAAAGGAAGAGAGTAACTGAGAAAATGAGACAAAATAGTTATGAGACACACAGGAAGCAAATAAATGGCAAAAGTAAGTCCTTCCCTATCTCTAATTACTTTCAATGTCAATGGATTGAACTCCCAAATCAAAAAATAAAGATTCCAGAACAGATTTAAAAAGCAGTTCCAACTAACTATACACCATTGGTAAGAGATTCAGTTTAGATCTAAGGACATGCATAGGTTGAAAGTGAAAGGATAGAAAAAAAGAGATTCAATGCAAATATTAACTAAAAAAGAATAGAGATAGTTATATTATTACACAAAATAGTCTTTAAGTCAAAAACTGTCCCAAATGTGTGGAAACGAAACAACACACTTTTCAGCCACTAAAGGGTCAAAGAGGAAAAACCAAAGAAAATTAGAAAATACTTTCAGACAAATGAAGATACAACATATTAAAACTTACAGGATAAATGAAAGAAGAGCTAAGGGAAATTTGTAATTATCAGTGAGTACATTAAAAAAGAAGAAAGATTTTCAGCTCAGTAATCTAATGTTCCACCTTTTAGAGCTAGGGGGAAAAAAAGAAAAAACTAAACCCAAAGCTAGCAAAAGAAACAGAAATAAAGATTAGAATCAAGAGAATAGAAAAATAAAGAAAACTAATTAAACTAATAATAGATTTTTTGAAAATGTCAAGAAAATTGACCTTTAGACTGATTCAGAGAAAAGAGGTGCAGTTCAAATAAATGAAGTTAGAAATTAAAAAGGGGACATTGCTACCATTACTATTACAGCAGACTACTGCCAAAATGTAAAGTATTACGAGATTACAATGAACAGTTGTATACCAACAAATAAGTCAGCATAGGTGAAATGAACAATTTTCTGGAAATATACAACCTACCAATACTAAATCATGAAAAAACAAAACCTGAATACATCTATAACTGGGTAAGGAGACTGAGATAGCAATCAGAAACCTCTCAACATAGAAAAGCCCCAGATGAGATAGATGGTTTTATGAGTGACTTCTCCCAAACAAGAATTAACAGCAACTCTTCTCAAACGCTTCCAAAATTTGAAGAAGAAGAGACACTTTGTAATTCATTCTGTATGTCAGTGATACCACAATACCAATGCCAAAGACAGTACAAGAAAACTGTATTCCAAGTATCTCTTGTTAATGCAGAAATGCTCAATAAAATGTCAGGAAACCAAATTCAGAAATATGTTGAAAGGATGATGCTCTAAATAATATGTATTCCTGGAATGCAAGGATAGTTTAACATTTTACAAAAGTCGGTCACTATAATTTACCACATTAATGAAGGGGTAAGAAAACCACAGTGATTATCTCATTGATATAAACAAAGCACTTGACTAGACTGTCATGATTTAAAAAAAAACACAACAAATTATGAATAAGGAAACTACTTCAACACAAAGACAATTTATGCAAAACTCACAACTAATATGATCAATGGTAAGAGACTGAATGATATTTTCCCCCTCTTATCAGCAATAGGGAAAGGAGGCCTGTTTTTTTGTTTTGTTTTGTTTTCCAGAAAATGACAGCAATTGTATGGTTTCACTCATATATTACAGCTAGGATAGTCAAATTCTTAGAGATAAGTAGAATGGTGGTCACCCAGGGAATTGAAAGGAGTTACTGTTTAATGGATAAGGAATTTTAGTTTGTGAAAATGAAAAAAAAATCTGTAAATATGTAGTCATGATAGTTACACAATAGTGTGAATGTAATTAATGATACTGAACTATAAACTTAAAAATAGTAAATATTATGTATGTTGTGCTACAAAAAAATCAAGAGAAAAACTGTGTAGAAGTAAATACCAATGAAATCACTATAGATCAGTATAAATTCTGATGCTTAGATTTTTAAAATTAATTTTTTAAAAAGAATGAAAGTAAATGAAGCAAGAGTATAACAAAACTAGAAAAACAAGGTAAAAATAGAGAAATTTGTGTTATTACATTATTCAAATAATACAGACAGTACAAGTTTTAAATCATTAATTAAAAATGAGTAAAATAGTCTAATTTTTGACAAGTCTAATCTGACAAGTTGAGTGTAGCAGTGCATGCCTATAATCTCAGCACTTGGGAGGATGCAGGAGGATCGCCATGAGTGAGAGCCCAACCTGAGCTACATAGTTCAAGGCCAGCCTTGTCTCAAAGAAAAGGAAGGAAGGAAGGAAGGAAGGAAGGAAGGAAGGAAGGAAGTCTAATCTGAGGGAAAGTTTTAAAAACTCTAACCTAAGAGAAAAAAGCAATTATACACAAAAAGCTTAAGCAGACTTACTAATCAGTAATTATATTTACAGTTATATTGTACATCTTATGTACAACTTTATACAAATACTTTTTAGGAGAATAAAGACAGCAGTTATATTTATCATGTTTATTGTGAGCCAGGAACTGTTCTTAGTTGCCTCCTGTCTACAGTATCACTAAGTAATGGGCACTATTGTCCTCGTTTACTTGTGAGAAAACCAAGGCACAGTGACTTAGTAACTTGTTCATGTTCACAGCCAGTAAGTGGCAGGGTCAGCATCTGTGTAGTCTGACTGGAGAGCAGCCTTTGTGCACCCCACCCCCTCATCTTAAGACATTTGTTGTAATTTTGTATTTTTGTCTAGGTCATCAAAATCTATTAATTTGTTTTTCTAATTATTCCCTCCAAGCACAGCCCACTCCTATTCCCCTGCCTCCCTCTCCTCCTGCTGACTCTGGCAGGAGGAACCAAGAAGAGAATTGAAGGAGTTGTGCATACATATTGTGACCTACATATTGTGTGACATTCCCTCAGTACTTGTTTCTACAAGGTGAAAAATCCATCATTTACAAATCCTTCATTTACAAATCCTTATTTTATTATTGAAGCATAGGTACAAAGTAACTCTAAAAAAGTTTTGTCTGTAAAGATTAAAGGGGATGCATTGTAACAATCTATTCTGTTCACTAAGCGATGGGCTAGCACACATCCAAAAAGAATTTTCTTAGATCCATTTCTGGCTTTCTTTGAGCCCAAATTTCTTGTGAGAGAGAGAAAGGGATTGTGAGTCCCTCTCCTCCCCCTCCAGGTGCAGGCTGAGAGAGAATGCACAGCTGACCCCAGGCTCTGCTTCCTCACGGGAGCTTTTCATTCCGTGGGGGTGGGGGTGGGGGGACCTAAGATTTGCAGAACCTAGGGTGGCCTCAGGTGTAAGTCCTCTGTGAGGAGGAATGGGGACCACCAAGTATAATGGCATACACAGTGACCTTACAAACTTGAAAATAAATTTCCCCTTAACTGTAACACTTATTATAATCATGTAACCTTGCCACTGTACACTCCACCCCACCCCCCCTCCAGCAGCTGTAACAGGCTTTTAGGAACATGTGGCCTGATCTAGAGCATCCATTAATGCCCCATATGAAAAGCTGCAGGAAATAGACCCATGGTTAATCACTGTGGTGAGTCAGGTTAGACTTGGAATTAGTACTGCAGTCCATATCAGACCACCTGGGGTTCCAGTCAACCCACTGAATTCAGTCAGACCCACTGAATTGAAATCACTATGGATGTGGACTCTAAATCTGCAATTCCGTAGACCTTCCAGTTGGTTAACTACTTTTTCCTAAGGGTTTTTTTTTTTTTACTATTATGTAGTTTTATTAAAGTATAATTGGCATACAATAAACTGGATGTGCATAAGTGCACAGTTGCTAAGTTTTGACATATTTGTGCATCTGTGAAACTATCACCACAGTCAAGATCATGAAAATAACTACCACACCCCAAATTTTTCCTCTGCTCTTTGTAATCCATCCCACTGCCCCTCCCCACCTCATATCCCCAAGCAACCACTAATCTGCTTTGTGTCAGAATGGATTAGTTTATAGTTGGAGGAGTTTGAGAGAAATTAAATCATTTGGGAATAATCTATTCATATGGGGTGCCATAGAAGAAAAACCTGAATTTAGGAAGTTTGGGACATTAAAAAGTGATTATAGTAAAAGAAATAAAATTGATATATACCTTTTTTTCTGTAATATTTTTCTGAATAACTAATCTATTTGAATGTACATTTTTGCATTGTTGCTAAATGATATACCTGACATAAAATGTTCATTTTTAAATTAAAATTTTAATAATGTTCCATTTTTATGTCCAAAAACCAACTCAAGCTGAAAGTTATTTTACTTAATTTTTGTCTTAAATTTCTTTTGCAGAGCATATAGGATTGGACAATGCAGAGATGTTAAAGTGTTTAGGCTGGTATCCTTGGGAACTGTGGAGGAAATCATGTATTTACGACAGGTATACAAGCAGGTAAATATATTTCCCTTTTCCTAAGAAGTAAAATTTTTCGATTTTCAGAAATTAGGAACATTTGTGAACAAAGTGTTTTCATTTTACTCTATTATGGAACTGAATGAAAGATTATGGAATATACTTCTGAATATACTTCTGTGAAGCAGACTAATTCTTAGGTTCATTGAATTTTTAGTACTGAATGTTTCTTAGAACAGTACTTCTTAGACATTAATATGTAGTGTTAATATGAGTCACTTATGGATCTTGTTAACATACAGATTTTGCTTTAGTGGGTCTGGGAAAGAACCCAAGATCTTGCATTTTTAACTGGCCCCCGGGAGTACCTGTACAAGTCCACAGATCACAATTTGAGAAGTGAAGTCACACCTCCCTAAACTGTGGTCCAAGACTTAATAGTCTGCCACTGGTGGGTTACAGGTGCACTGACATTGGCCCCACTAAGCCTCTGGGGCAGCAAGAGTGCCTAAGCCAGCTTTCAGCTTTGAGTAACCTCCCCTGTGTATTCCAGCTAAATGTTTCTGTGTTACCATTTTCTACATGGGCTATGAGGTGAAGGTGCTGGGAAGCACTGCCTGAGAGATACTACACATAATGAAACTGAGACCACAGAGATGACCAGTAAATGAAACTGTAGAGGGATAGGACTCATGCATGCTAACTACTGTGCTGGTGCTATTTTAGTATTCATCTAAAATTGCATTAACTGTCTAATATACTTAAGATATCAATTACTGCTCCATTTATACTTCTAAATAAACAACACTTATTTCATTTATAACTGCTCACTTGAGAAGATCTGGAATGAGGTTCACATTTAATTGTAAATATTAAATTTAAATTGCTCCCTATATACTTGGTTGGCATCTGTTTAAAAGCAAACATCTGCCACAGGTGGTGGTGGTTAACCCAAGAATGATCCAATCTTAAATTCATGCTATTTTTCTTATTCTAAAAATGGAATTGTACACAGGAGATTTTGTTTTTTCTTAAATTAATTAGCTCTATAAGAGACCATTCATCTATTTGTTCTTTGGTATAACACAGCTAATTGAAAAAAAATTTTTTCTAATCTAGTTAATCAGTCTTGAAAAAACTAGAATACAAATGGTACTTTGGTTCACAAACTCAATTTGTTCTACAGTTTTAGAAAAGATGGCCACATTTGTGTTCGTGTGGTAAAGATGGCCACAGTCATGTTTGTCACCTGATGCAGAGTTTGCAAACAAAAACAAAATTTTCCCAAATGCTTCTGCTTGTGAACCAAATTGTTTCCAAACAACAGTGTTCATGAACTGAGGTACCACTGTAATTTTCATCTTAGAAGCTGCTCTTTAAAATATGCTTGACTCATCACAAGTAAGAGTGTTTTCTCCATTGTGTAATTTTTCTCAACCCATTATTATACACATTTTCTTGGTACCTGTTTATCTTTACTCATTTAATAAAATAAAATGGCTTGTTATATAATATACAATAAAAAATTTTAAGGAGACAAAGTAATTTAAGTTGTCAGAGCTCTGTATGACACATATAAGGATAAGATGTAAGGTGTGTAAGGGAAAGGCATTAATGCATTCATGATGGGGCCGTAATTTGTATGTCTCACTGCCAGGCAGCTCTGAACCATCAGTGGTACATGCATGACTGGTGGTTCAAGCCAGCAGGAACGTTAAAGATAGTAGAAAAGTGGCTTGAAATTTGAACCATCAGTGCCTATGAGACACATGCCGCCTCCCAAATATTTCTCAAATCTTTGGAGGAAAGAATTTTAAAATCCAACAACAAAAGGCAGCTATAAATATGTTTGAGACCAAGAATAATTCACTCAGTGGCACAAGAATTGTAAGAAATCTGAAAGAAAGCTGTTAGGATTAGATTTGAAGAAAGAACCAACACAGAAGAATCCTGGAAGCAAGTAGGTGAAACTTACATTCTCCAATCTTAGAGTCAGCAAATATTACAAAAAGAAGGGATTCTGGAGTAATTCTTTGATGAAGGAACAAGGTGGTTTAATCTTCACAGTCTTATCTAAGTTGTATCAAATTACAGCCAACAGAGAGGTTTAGTGGAAACAAGTGGAAATACTAGAAGCAAAGAAAGTATGACAGAGCTCCAGTTTTTTCCTGATATCCTGACGAAAGTCTCTCCCACTGGCCCAGAAGACTAAATGCCTGCACTGCCTCCTCCACACACACACTTCAAATAACCTGGGCAGTAAGCTTGACATCAGGATGTAAGGTATCTACAGGTAGATGAGCAGGCAGCCAAAAATAATTACTGGACAGTTTAAGAAAGAAAATACTGCAGAAGAAGTGAACTTTCCGGGCCACCGTACCACTGCCCCCAGAACCCAGGAGCACAGCTGTTCCCAGCTCAAAGGATGTGAACCTTCCAGGCCGCTGTACCACTGCCCCAGCACCTAGTAGTAGAGCTGCCCCCAGTGGAGAGAAGGTGAACTTCCTGGGCCACTGGACCACCACCACCAGTGCTGAAGAGGTGAGCATGGGGGCACCAGCAGCACACATCCCTCCCCCGCTTGAAATGAGAAGACACTTAAACAGGTCTCAAAACCAGACTCCCAGATCACCTAAAACAACCCCAAACAGAAACAACATGGAATAATCTGATACTCAACCACTGGGACTTCCTGAACTGGCAACAAAAGAGGACCTAGAAAAAATGAAATCAGAAATAATTTCTCAGATAACAGCAGAGATTGTGCCCATAGTGCAAGACATGCTTAATAAATCTAGAGAGGACACAGATTAAAAAAAAATAGAGGAGCTGAGGAACATGATGGAATCCCAACACAGGAAACAAGTGGCATCCATAAAACAGATGCAAACAGATTTCCAGGAGATTAAAAACTCCATGGAAAGCCTACGCAGCAGAATGAGCTAATGTGAGGACAGAATTTCAGACATAGAAGATAAGATTGCAATTAATGACCAGGAAAAGAAAAATTTGTTGAAAATAGTAAGGAACCACAAAAAATCAATTTAGCAGCTGCTTGACGATGCAAAGAATAACATAAGACTGATCAGAGTCAATGAAGAAACAAGAGAGACTGCAGATGACATAAAAAAAACTGCTCACAGAAGTGATGGCAGAAAACTTCCCAAGCAGGGGAAAAGAACTTGACATACAGATAAGGGAGGCATATAGGACTCCAACTAGCCTTGATCAAAAAAAATCTACACTTAAACATCTAATACTCAGGATTCCAGAAACCCAACAGGGGAACAAAATTCTACAAGCACTGAGAGAAAAGAAACAAATCACATACAAAGGAAAGCCCATCAGAATCACAGCAGACTTCTCA